TACAATCAGCTGACACTCACGATACACAATTACTCAAAAAACAACGTGTTTCTTTTTTTCGTAGTAATTTTTCACGCACCAAGTGATTAGTAGTGATCATTAATAAATCCTCGTTTTATCGATGAAGTGAGTGAACAGAGTATGTGAATGTGTTGTGTTTTAAACGTGAGACGTGAACCATAAGAAAGTGGAAAAACTTTTACTCGATATGGATCTGTCTCATCGCGGGAGAAAGAGAGAGAGAGAAAGAGAGAAAGAGAGATGCGTATACGTATTTGTGTATCGTGAGTGTCAGCTGATTGTAGCAGGCGCCTCACGTAAACACTCGCGTGTAACGGTGAGTTGCGACGCCCCTGCTTGTTTCTTGTACTCGACTCACGATACGCTAACTATTTTCTTTTATAACTTGAAAATTAAGCTCTGCACAAACTTTTGCCAAAGGAAAAGTTGTCTCAGAATACGCTCAGGAATATGCCCCTTTAAGGACATACGGTTATTTTGAATCACCCTGTATATACAGATATATAGGTATATGTGATTCGATTTTAATTTCGTACTATAGACATTTTAATCCTCTATACTCGGAATTCTTTACATTCTAGGTCGTAATAGGTGATTATGTTATTGAATATAACGACTCTATATTAAACGATAATATTTTATCCCTGTCTACGTCAAACCCCTCGATAAAAGGACCAAAACCGTTTGCACTGGATGTTCCAGAACATTCTTCAAATCAGCCCGTACCTAATTTGAAGCCACCAGAAGAAAAATTCTCGGTAAATATGCATATAGAAATATATAGAAGTAGTCAAAATGTAAACTACATTTTTGTTTGCAGCGTTACAACACAGTACAGAATACTCTACAAATGCATCCTCAGAGAAAAGATGTGTTATTAGCAGCCAAAACTGCATTTGCAGAAGAAAACAGAAGGGCATTGATACGCATTGTTGTAGCGGAGCTAGTGAAAGTTTACGATAGCTGGTGAATCTTTTTTATAATATTACTATATTTTATTATAAGTTAAAGTTGTTGGAAATAATGTAGAAATTGTGCTTGCAGTTATCCTCCTGAAAAGGCAAAAATTGCACTTGCTGCAGCAATTATACGCGAATTTCCTTTGTTGAAAGACGTACATTCCACCAAAGGTTATGTGAGTATGTTAATCTTTCACACAACAACAAATATTTATGTTTATAAAAACAAATTATAAAAATGACATACCTTCGCAGGAACATTATTACGATAGTGTAACAAAAAAAGGTTTTATAGAATATCGACTGTGGACCATTCGGAAAACGATATCACCTTCAAAGAAGAAATATACTACGAAGAAGGTAGAACGAGTAGAAAGGTAGAACGAGTAGAAGGTAGAACGAGTTTTGACAAATAAGTCGTGCAAACTCCTTCCTATCGAAGAACTCAACGAAAAGGTTTCTTCTCAATGAAAACTAATACAAAAATGATATTATTGTAATTTTAACTACTTTTTTTATCCTTAAGATCATGGCTGCAGTGCAAACATCCTTCCGAGCAGACAAGAATGCAATAATATCTTACATGAAGGATACATTTCCAAATAGAAGACATTGGATCAGTACAGCAAATCCAAGCATCACAGAAATTTTTAAAAAATATCCACGATTGATGGATTACAATGGAGAAATGGTATAGCTCATTATGTTATTTAAAAACATTACGTTAACATTTAATATAATAAAAATTAGTTTAATAAAAATTAATTTATTTTAGATTAATGTAGAGTTTCAACAAATGTTTACTGGATTAGAAGATAACTTTTTAACTCGATTTCCTGCGTACTATAGTCAGAGAATAATATCGTATGCTAAAATGCATCGACGTGATGTGTACGACCAGGTAACCTTTAAAATCGATGGTAAAATAGTAATACTTATTTTTGTACAAATATTTTTATTTCTTTACTAATATAAATTAACATTTTTCTTCTTATTTAGAACATATGAGAGCATTGATCATACTCGCAGAATTATTACCAGATAGCAATGCCTTACAAAAGAAAAAAAGGAAAACAAACTCGAAAGGGTAAAAGGAAAAAAAAAGGTGAGAATAATAAAGTTAGAATTTATAATAAATAATTATTTGAAATGATGTTTCAAATATGTGTGTATTCGAAACGAGTTTTTGAATTCGTTTTAATGGCAATAGTTAATAATAATAGTTTATAATAGTTTATCTCATTGTCTCATAATTATCTTTAGCAATATGAAGATGAGGAAATACACGATAATAAGACTGATGAAGCACAAGCAGAAAACTTTTGTTCAGAGGTTGCCACTAATGATAATGCTCGTTTCTTGCTTCAAATTATTCCAGTATGTTTTATAACGTGTAACTAAATGTGTATGCACAGTATTTACAATTTTATCATCGAAGTTATTCATTCAATAATTCTGTTCTTATATTTATTATATATTTTATTATATCTACATAATTTTTTTCAGGAAGGAAGTGATGTACGTCAATTTGTAACGTCTTTTATATCTTCCGAAAATACGAATGTTCAGCCATTCATCGTGTGTGTGCGAGGCTCAAAAAAAAATTAATATTTCGTTCAAGGGGACGGATGGCTTATAGAAGTCCCGGATAAAGC